CGGTTGCCAATGTAGCTTTTCACTGAGTGTTTTTGCTCAGGAAACACTGATTTTTGAAACTTTGCGCTTGAACTACCATTTTTGTCAGTGGCGTTCAAGATAGGGAAAAAATAATCCCTGTTAGCCCCCAAATGCGGTTTTGCAGGTTTTTTGCCACAAAATGTTCTTTTGCTCCCAAACAGTTGAAAATAGAGATTTTACTTAGAAAACAATAAACTTTCTAACTGAGCGTTTGGAGCACCAATTTTCCCAGTGGCGTGCAAGATAAGAGAAAATTAATCCCTGTCGTTCCTTAGTTGCGGTTTTGCATGTTATTCGCCATAAAATGTAACTTCATTCCCAAACGGCTGGTACATTTTTGTGTAGAAAGCAGTTGGTTCTCAATAGGGGTTGCAAAATTGACCTTTTTGCCAGTGGCGTACTAGTTATAAGGAAACAATCCAAATCAACTATCAAAACTACGCCACTGACGCATGAAGAAAAAGTGCATACAATTTCAAATATCTGTCTGAAGCATTTTTTGAAATATAGTGAAAAAACTATTCAAAAATCTCTGTAACACCGGTTTGGCGTAGGTTTGGGTCACCCAGTATAAAAAATGCAGCTAAATTAAACTCAACCTCGGCCACCGGGCAGTATAAGACAGTTCTAAAGTAAATGCTGTTAATAACAAATCGAAAAAAAAATCTAAAGTAAGAAATGAGTAAACAAAACAGTTAAAAAATTATTTTTTAGGAACTTTTTGCATGAAATTTTCTCCCGACGAGTGGCGAGCAGCTTCAGAGTGGTGTTGCGTTAGGCAAACCATCGCTGAAGAGGCAAACACAAGAAATTTCAATTTTTATTACTGAAATTGAGGGAAGCAGGATTAAAATTCACTAGACATCACAGACAATAAAATGCGCTTTATTTAACTTCGGCAAGCGTTAGAGTTACATGGAAATAGCGGTTTCTTAAAATCAGCTCCTGGTTAAACCTGGCGCGGCTTAAACGTTTTATTCAGAAACTGAATGGAAACGTCCTGGACTCGCATGTTGGAGGTGAGGAACTGTTGCAAACTATCCACACCATTCCTGGGCATTCTATCGAACGGATATCCCATTGAGCGCCTATCTGGATACAGCTTATCCTTGATGCCGCAGTAGGAGTCAGCGTCATTGCATTGACCAGAAGCATCTTGATTGATCTGAAATTAAAAAAAAAACTGCAATTCAAGGTTTTGCTCCGTAGTAGCAAATTCCTGCTTACCCTGTCGTCATTGATATTGGAAATCATCACAAACAATTGGCATGGCAAGCCCTCAGCACTGCCCTTGGGAATAAGAAGATTATCCGGCCATCCGCAGCCGCAGAAGTTGAATTGGGCCAACTGATCGCCTCCTTGGGGACGGGACGTGTCCAGATCCCTGTATGTCCGTTCGAAGGGAATAGTCACAGACGAATCTCCAGAGTTTCGGGTAATCGTGTTTTGGCCCTGCTTAACTATAAAAAAACCAGCTTAGTCTAGCAAAACGGGATGGATATTGACTTTTTTAATCCAAAATCGGTCACCTGCAGGTTTCGATTGAATTGTTACTTTTAGCTTAACGCGCGCCAACTCAAAAACAGGTTTTAAACGATTGGAAAAGTGGAACTGGAACGGTTGCGTTGCGGCAAAAATTCAATTATACCCTGAGCCCATTTGGGCAAGGATGCGATTCAATTCAGTCATCCTCACTCAAAAAATGGCTTTTGCAAAGAAACCGCCCTTAGAAGCCATTAAAAACCGCCGATTCAAATGGCCTTTGCCCTCGGCCATCCCCTTCGACGGCTACTTACGATTGACTTTAAACTTGTCCAACTCGATAAACATCAGCCTTTGATCTCTGAACAGCCAAGGGTTGCCCCTTTCATCGAACTTGGGAGCCAGGAAAATTCGACAGGTCCCTTCCCGCACCTGATTGCTTTGAACTTGGATTTTGTATGTGAATCGTGCATGTTGAAGATGAGTGAAGCTGGAAAGCAAAAAAGTCACGAAGTTTTTACCAGAAAACAGCCAAGCCCTCACCGAACGAAAACAGCTCCACGAGGCTGGAAGTCCATGCCTCTGGATAAATCAACATCGGACTGCTGCCAGTAGGTCTGCAACACGTTTGTTTGGCTGCCTTGTACTTCCACCTCGACCCCTTGGACGGTCACTCCAGGATTATTGAGCTGCAAGCAAGTGCTGGGAACAATTCACCGAAACTGGCCAGTTAATGCCTACCTGGTTCTCAGTGTATCTGGGTAGGGAGGACTTGAACTCCTGGAAGAGATCGTCGATGAAAGCGTGCCAGCGGTAGAAGATTGGGTCTCTCATGGCAGTGGCTGAGTCCCCGATCACTCCAAAGGATTCCTGGACGGGCAGTCATTGTTAGTGCTATTTTAAGGCTTAGGGGGACTGGAAAAGACGCACCAGGTGCCTGTGGTCTGGATCGTGGATGTACGACAGCAGGATATGGCCGGAGTTGTGCATGTCCCCATAAAACTCCCTGTTCGGGGACAGGATGCTAGACTCCACCATGTTGCCCAGTATGTCAATGCCTTCATTCTCAGTCAAAGGGATGGTTTTTCCTTGCCTCTGGAAAAAACCGAGCAAATATCCATCTGGGAAACCTCACAAGGAAAAACCTACATCGGTGACAACCCCCGAGTGAATGGCGTCATAAATCCTGTCCCTCCACCTGGTAAGGTCGTCCACATCAATAATAAGGCCATCAACATCTCTCCGGATGTTCTGAAGCTTTTGCCCAGTTACTCTGGCAGGCCACGAGCGGCTTGCCACTAAACTGTCCAGCTTGGGGAAGTAGGCCTCCTTAATGGACGCTTTCCAGTCGATGAACCTCTCCACGCGCTTCATTTTGTTGCTAAAGCGCTCCAGGTTGTACCTGGGAGCCGGAGAGTCATCACAAGCCCCCACCAAACCAAACCTGCCCATACCTGGCTATGACTTGCTGGTGCATGTAGTAGAACAGCTCTCCTCTTCGGTTCTTGTCCACAATCACTCTGGCTGCTTCAAAAGGGTACACCAAGTGCCAATGCCAGTGGTGAAGATTCAGGCCGATGTCTTCGCGGAAGTAGGCCAAGCGATGTTCTTCCTCCAAGTCGGAAGCGGTGAAATCCTTGGGGATTTCGATGGGGGTCTGAAATGTTCCTCACAGCAAATGAAGGTTTTTTAGAGCCGGAAGACATACCCTGCTTCCCTCGGGAACCACATTGGCATCTTCACGCGCTTGGGAGAAGACTTTGCTATCAACATATTTATCCGGGAACGAGTGGATGATGGATGGAATGTCCAGCTCTTGAGTGTCGGCTCTGTGTAGAAGAGCAACCGATAGCGAATAGTTGAACAAGTAGGGGTTGACGCGATCCCTTGCATAAACAGCGACAGCCAGCAGATCGTCCACATTGCGAACGCCTACAATTTTTCTGGTATGGACAAACCTGCTGCTTTAAAACTAGGAGTTTTTACCGAGGAAAATGTCGATCAGTCTTCCAGCGATGCGGCGATGTTTGGGGATGAACAAGGAGAAGTTGGTGTCTCTTGGAAGTTCCAGAACTTCGCCCAATGGGGGAATGGAAATTCGGTTCACCGAAATTCGCTCATTGGCTTCTTCGCCAAAGCGGCTGGTCACTTGGGTGCCGATTGGCCTGTACTTGTCGCTCTTTGCAAAAAACGCAATTAACCGAAGAAAACAGTTGGGCACCACAAGTGATTTTTGAGTTTAAATGAATGATTTCGAAGCGATAATTGCAGAAAAAGTGTTGGAAAAGCGCAAAATTCAAGCAAGTCAAAGAAATGGCGCAACAACTAAAAGTGAGAGTTTCCAGTTTTAAATTCAGGGGGGGGTTATGTAGAAAAAATACAGTCTTCCCTTGTCTATGAAATTAGAAGAATTATCGTCGTTTTGTGCAAGGGTGGCGTAAGATTATTGCAAAATTTCATGTTTTCCGTCCCGTTTTGCATGCTTCTCGGAAGCAAAATGAGCAAGAACGCTCATTTGTACATCATTCTAGACAGAAATTAATTACCTTTTTAGAAAGTGAACCATAGACGGGGAAATGCTGGCAGTTTTCTCGAAAAATGCTTGAATTCAAGAAGTTTTAGATTTGCGTGGTTTTTTTTAGTAGCAAAATCCACTTGAACATGACGCTGCTTTTCTTTCTCAAGAACCATTCGAGCCACAGAATTCGTTTTGGCATCGTTGGATAGAGAATTGAAAAGTCGATTCAGTCGTAACAACATCAGTGAGGAAATTCGAGTAGTTTTGACCCATAAAACGAAATTTGGTGCTTAGGTGCAAGATTATGCCAAAATTTCATATTTCCGTTGCTCATATCTCGGAAGCAAAATGAGCAAGAACGCTAATTTGTACATCATTCTAGACAGAAATAAATAGCCTTTTTAAAAAGTGAACCATCGATAAGACAGTAGAGCAAACAGACAAATTAAATTCAACGTCCCTTATAGGATAAATTTCCAAATGTTTCGATCCAGAAAATCACCAAATTATCAATGTGTTTTTTATTGCTTTTTTTAGAAGCAAATCAATTCTCTTTCGCTAAAACAACTGAAAAACAAACTTGAAATTAAATTATTTTTTACACCTGAGAAGTTAACAATTTAACTGATTTTTCGAAAGCTTCATTTGTGAACTCGAAAGTTTTTTCTGAAGACATGATCGATCCATGTTATGCTTACCAAGTATTCAGGTGGAACGGCAAAAGCTTTTTTCTGGTCGCCTTTGGGCATGAAAACCGGCTCCTGAGGGCGGTCGAACAGCAAAAGAAGATTTTTCTTGTCGCTCATTTTGCCGGAGTTTTTCACTTTTGTCGAAAATTGAACTAAAGCGGAACTGTCTACCTTACAAGGAGTGAAGGTAGAGTGAAGAATATTTTGAAAACGCACTTATTTATATGAAAAATGTGAGACTAACGAAACCGCAGACTTGGGTTCCCATCAAATTTGCTTATCTGTTCGATGTCTAGCGTTTGGTGGGCTTGTTATTGTGGTAGAATATGCGATAATGTAATTTTGGGTGTCTTTGAAAGTCCATAGAATTTTTATTTGCATCTTTTAATTTTATTTAAGCATCTTTCAGTAAGTTTTTCAGCCGAGTTACACAGTGGAACATCGGATTTGTATGCGGCTGTACTCATTTGTATACGGCTGATTTGTATAATTTTTTGAATTTTTCAGTAACCTGATGGTCACTTTTGTGTTTTTGTGGCCAATTTTAGGACAATTTATTTTTTTGTTCAAAATTGACTTTAGCAATAGTCTTAGGGTAGACTTTTCAAATTTTTCTTCTAAAGTAAAGTTAGTGAGAACTGAATTGAGTGAGACCGTTTTTCGGTTTTCCAATTTTTGTGTGCCAGTTGTAATTCTTATTTCTGGAGCAACAAAAACAAAAGGAAACGGGACGCAACGACTCAAAGCTTTTGAAAACATATTTTTTAGTTTCGTGCAGATATTAATTGTTAATGAAAATATAGTTGTATCAAGTGTTTAGAACAACAGAAAAATTGAAATGATTGAATACGCAGTTTTAACCTGACCAAGACCTTCATTGCATTAGTTCACAACTATTCGTAAAAATTATTCATTAAATTTGTTCATTTTTATAAAATTCGTGCATTAATCTCAGCTAATCCCAAACGCTTGCACCTACACACGTTATTGTATAACTGATTGCCTACTATATAACCTCACTTCTTGACATCGCAGACATTTAAACGTCACCAATAATGTTTTGAAAACAAACTTGTTTCTTTTGCGAAAAAATGAGTGAAGCAGCCCTTGCAGACTCAACTTCCTACGCGGACATTGAGCGACAATGTCAGGAGGAGTTGAAGAAGCTAAAAGTCGATGAGGTGCGCTCCTCTTAATTATTGCACTCCCAAGTTAAGTGCAATGTTTTAGGATACCTTACTAGCAGACCTAAATGCCATGTTAAACCAGAGAACGTACATTGAGGACAAAATCAAAGGCTTGTCCCGTCTAATACCTACTCTGAAGGTGATGAAACATGAAGCTGAAGAGCTAGTGAGCACAATAAACGGCATATCAGAGAGTTCTGAGAAGATTAGCAGCAAAATTCGCCAACTGGACTCTGCAAGGGTAAAAAGTACCTTTTACCCCTGCTCATTTGCGTTTCAACTGCCGCGTCTTTCAGGGGCATGTGGACGAATGTCTGGTACGAGTTAATGACCTGATTGACTTGGAAATATGCTCGCAAGGCGTCCAGCAGGCAATTCTAGATCTGGACTACGAAAAGGGGGCCGCTCATGTCCACAGATTCCTATCCATGGATCAGTCTCTGCTGAAGAAAACCGCCAACGACATGAACAACATGTCGAACATGCTAAAATCAGTCAGAACTTTGCAGGAAGCCGCTGCTCAACTTCGGGCCATAGTGGCACACAAATTTAACGAAGCAGTTGAGAGCGAAGACTTGGGTTCCGTTGAGAGGTTTTTCAAAGTATTTCCTTTACTAGGAATGCACGAAGAAGGTACCTATTTTTATTTTCCAAACATTTTTATTCATCGGGTGTTTTTTTCAGGCATAAAGAACTTCTGCACCTTCTTAAGAACAAAAGTGGCTCTAACAGCCGATAAAAACCTGAAATCGGCCATCAGCACCTCTTTAGCAGACAAGCGTTATGCGATTGTCTATGCTGATACCCTAACGCTGCTCTTTGAGGGTTTGGCTCGAGTGATTGACACTCATCAGCCCCTACTTGAGACATATTATGGCCCTGGCAGGCTCCTATCTGCCGTGAGTATTCTCCAACAAGAGTGTGATAAGCAAGTGAAGCGAGTGGTGCAAGAATGGAGCAAAACAAGGCAGATTCAAAAGAAGATACAGGTGAGTAAAGGGAGTGTAGTTGATTTGCAATGACTAGGTACTTTGCAGCAAATTTCTGAACACTCCAGAATTACTTCAAGTGCCAGCGGGAGCAAGCTGGAAAAAAGTGATCCTAAAGATTTGGATATACTTATTGGCGAGATTTCTCTAATGCACTTTAGGTGCGAATTGTATATCAAATTTATTGAGAGAAAGGCTTTGGTAAGGTACCCCCACTAAACCAAAAACCCTGGAGCGAAAGGTGACTCTAATTGTGTTTCAGGCTGATATGGAGATCGGCATCTCTGAAGCTGAGCAGAAAAACAAACTGTCCAAAGTTCTAGAGCAGCTGATTCTAAACAGCGAACTTAGCCAATCAAAACATGAGCTGTTGTCCCATTATTTAAGACTGGAGCAGTATTTTATGGAAGAGTCTGTGGCTAAAGCTGTAAATATTGACACGGTGGAACTCTCATTCCAGACTTCCAGTATGGTAGACGACACCTTTTTCATCGTACGAAAGTGTATCAGGTTTGGCAAATGGAGAGTGAAAAGAATCAACGTTATAATGAAGTTTTTTGTGCGTTTAGAAGGTCGATTTCCACTGGAAGCTTGGACGGAATTTGCGTGACCATCAACAACGCCTGCCGGGTTCTTGAAAATGATTATTGCGACGTTTTGAAGGCTCGCCTGAAGCAAGGCTACCCATCTGGCTATCTGGATCTAACTCAAGCCTACAACGTGCTGCAGAACTCCATCCAGCAAGGCCGACTGCAACCAGGAGACACTGAACAATCGCGAACAGCCTTTATAGTAACTATTTATTTTTTTCTACTATTTACTAGAAGCTTGCGATTTGGGTTCCTTATCGCCTCCCCTCTTCTCTTCGTATTGATCCTTGTTCTTGATCAGAAACTCGGCCAAAGCGATTATTGGCTCAGGAGGACGCTCTTTACTCAAATAACACAATCCGCTCATCAATATCGGAACAACTGTCTGGTCCAGATATTGCTTGGTTGGCACGCAACTGAGGTCCATTCGGTTTTTCGTCGGAATGTTCGCTTGATTGTCCATCTTCAGGGCGGCTTGGATTATTTTGCAGTATGTGGGATTGCCCGCTAAGTGGCATACTTCTGCGGAAATTTCCTCATCGGTTAGCAAAGAAGAGCGGCGATTTTCACTTATTTTTGGCTGATTAAACCCTCTATCTGTGGAGGACTGGTTTGATTCTTTCGAGTCCATTGATGGCTCAATTGTGGTTTGACAGATAATGAAGGCTCACCTGTAAGTAATTGTTGTGATGTTTGGTGTTTTTTCCCCAGGTTGCCCTGAATAACGCAGACAGTAGTACTGAGTACATAACGGCCTTAGTGGACAGTATTATTAAGGAGATTGAAGGCGCTTGTCCTAATATGAACAGTAAGGAAAGGGGCAAGTTGGAAAGCTGCCTCTCTGGAATTTCGGCGGTCAGCGCCAGACTGGCCGAGGTTATTGAGTATGGCATCCAGCAGCTGAAGAGCACCGCTATAAAGCCGCGAATTAACCCTTGGATGGACACTTTTTTGAATTTCAGCCATCAACTAACCGAGGTAGGTCCTAAGAGTTGTTTTGCAATTGTTTTTTAGATTATAGGGTTTTAGGATGAATTGTCTGCCTATGAAGCAGGCGAGTCCTTCGTGCAGACTTTGATTATGAACTTGGAGACTTTGCTGTCCTCATTTAGGGACATTTTGACGTCCAACAACTACGACCACTTTATAAAAGTGCTCACGCTTGAAGTCACCCAGCGATTTGAGAAAGTCGTTATGAAAACCCAGTTCAATCGGGTAAGATTTTGCGGCTTACAATCTGGACGAAGCATGAATGTGTTCAATGTAGTTGGGCGGATTAGTGCTGGATAAGGAAGTGCGATCGCTGGCCGGGTATATCACTTCGGGCACTTATTGGTCAGCTCGCGACCAGTTCGCCAGGTTGACCCAAATCGCCACCATCCTCAACTTCGATCAGATTGAGGAGATTAATGATTACTGGGGTAATGCGGATGACGCCATTACCTGGCGGTTAACACCCACAGAGGTGAAAACTGTTCTAAATCTCCGGTAAGTTGTCCAAAAGGCACATTTATGGCAAACATGCGTTAATCGCTCAACCATTCGCGAGAATTTGCTATGCTTCCTTCAAATGCACTCTTAATCAAAGGATCATAAACTGGCTGTTTTAGGAGTGACTTTCGATCGGAGGACATCAAACGATTACGTCTATAAGTTCAATCAAATTGCATCAGTGGAGGATATTGTTATCGCCTTAATAATCCCTATTACAATCGATACTTAAGGTATGAATCATATGCATATTTGGAAATACCGTCACGAATAAACGGAGTTGTTTGTTAACCCACAGTCGACCTAACGCCCTGAAAAAAACACATTATTATTTTGTTAGGGAATTAGAGTGATTTGTACATAGAGAGTGTAGGAGCTGTTGAGTTAATGAATTAATTAAGAACAAACAACAATACAATGAATTTATTTCAATAGTTGAGAACCATACAAATGAATCGTACAAGTCTGACCACAATGGATTAATATCTTTGCTAAACTATCTGAACAGCTGAATCTCTGGATTAGCTAAAGTAATTAAGCAATGAAGCTGTCAGCAAATTGATAATGTAACATAGTAGTACTGAATTGACCTCTTATATCTCCTAGATTCTAAAATTAAAACCAATACTCTTCGAAGCCAGGATTCCTAATAAATACCTTTAAAATTCTCCTACCGATCATTTCTTAGTAAAATATTTTAGCAAAATTCGTGGTATTATCGATAAAAATCATACTTAGCATCCATAGCATTACAGGAATTCAATGAATTAGTGGCCCGGTAAAGGTTTAAGCTCTTTAATTTGTCTAATTAGGTAAGCCTTCTCATCGTTAAACTGCTCGTCTTCGCACCTATCTGTGTGGAACTTCATTAAAAATTCTACCAGCTTCTCTTGGTTCCTGAGTAGAATGTCCAGAATTGGTTTAGGTTTATTAGGATTTGCTACGAACACCTGGAAAGCCCATACTTAGCCAGCTGGCCATGCCACAATATTTTTGGAGTAACTACCTTAAAGACATGGAAGGCCTCAAACTGAATATTCCTAGATCTCTCTTTCAACATGTTCATCATCAATTTCAAGTTGTCTGGATTGGAAATGTATCTAGTCATCACCTAAAAAGCTCTCACTAGTAGCATAAGGGAGCTTTGAAAGAATTGATCAGTCTTACGGTAAAGTTGTGCCTATCCAAGAGCAGTTCACCTAGTAGCTTCAAACTTTGGCGTCTGGTAACGTAGTTTTCTGAATTTAACAGTCTCTGATAGTGCCCAAACACTTTATCGTAGTTGACCTCTAGGAAGTCAGCACACAATATCTTGTGCCGTGTTAGGAGTTCCTGTAATGTACCAAAAGGCTCAGAAACAAAACCAATAACAACGCTTCGGACTTACCTTAAAAGTGGAAAATGCATCTGAGGCAATATCGAACGTGGAGACCTCCACATACCGGAAAAAATTGTAGAAGTCCTCAGAATATAACATGATCTTAGCCAGGGCATCATATCGGGCGCACTCTCTCAACATTGTTCCACAGTTCAGCGCAATCTCTTGGTGCTCATACCTGCGATGAAAATTCCGATCAGTACTGGGAGCAGTAGTGAAAGTGAAGTAAAAACAATTAATACTGACCCGCTCATAAGCGTATACAAAATCTCAGGCTTGGTGCAGATATACTCAACAGTGGGGGACCGAGTTCCAATTTGTCTCCTTAAAATGTTGTTGAACACCTGTGCCACATCCTTTTTGCCCTCGAAATCGATCCGGTTTAAGTTCTGAATTAACATTAGTAAAAGGTTGCTATTATACAGTTCCTGGGCCAACTGGGCTACAATTATATCAGTTTGGGGCTCTGACTCCGATGTGCCATACAACATGTTCTTGATCAGCAGCAAGTTCTTCGACACATCTTCCTGGGCCTTTTCTGCCTTCTTGTCACCCTTTTCCAACGCATTGACTGCTTCTTTCAGCGCTTTGACCACTTCAGTGGGGCCCTTTTGCGATTTCCCAAATAGAGGCATTTCCAGAAGAGATTGGCTATGAATGGGACAAATAAGCTGCTTAATACTGATCAAACGAAAATCTTCATTGGTGGATGGGCCGTCCAGTTAACAAGCTGATTCGTTCATTTCACTTTTACGTTGTGTTTGGAGCGATTGATGAAAAATATTACTTCGCTTGATGCAGCAATCCCCTATCTGAATCTTGATATTTTGACAAGCGATATATGCCAACACATGTTCACGCCTGAATAAATATTTCTAGGGCATTTTTTCTGCGATTCTAGGTAGTTTGGCCGCTTACGTGTGGCGACAATGAGTGCGCTATTGCCAAGTATATCAAAGTGTGCGAGAAGGAGGGAGTTTGACAAAGATGTCACGGTGCGTGGGGTTTTGCAGAAAAAGTTTTTTGTGTTTTGGCGGCTTTCTGTAAGTATATGGGGAATATTGGGGGTTTTATAAAGTCCTAAAGGGCAAAAGCTGGAAAGTTGACTAAATTTTACCAGAAACCTACGCGTTTTTTTTTTTGGACTCAAAGCGAACAAGAATACAAATGTGTTTCCGCACATACAATATACAATAGAATACAATGTGTTGTTCAAAAGTCCGCAAATCTGATCAGTTTTCCTTCGGCAGAGGTTTACTTTTTACTTTTTCGCCACCGGAGAAAAACCAGATGCGTTTCACTCATATTTTTAAACAGACCCGCATTTGCAAGTTCATTTACATACTTGAGTTGAAAATTGATGTTCTGGGATAAATTTGACGATATTTTATTGAAAAACAACTTATTTTGTCCTAGAAAAGGTTACTTATTAGTTGGTTCGGCTGCTGAAAAGCCCGAGCGCGTCTTGAAAAGTACCACTTACGAAGTACCAAAACGTCAGAAATCAATTTTAATAGTTTCCAGCTTATAAATCCCTTTTCAAACCCAAGTCAAAATAAGCAAATTTTTGGACCAAAAGTTCTTAAACCTGCAAAAATAATACTAATTTTTGTGCGATTTGAATAAAAAAATTTTGCGGATCAAGAAGATGCCGCGTGGTCCAGTTTGCAGAGCTCAAAAGTTGAAGTTTCTGCTCTGGACACTGGATTAATTAAAGTAATGTAAAAATGCTTCAGTAAGGATTTAGAGAGAGTTAAAAGTTTTATTTTTTTAAATATTAATTGTACCTAGTCAAACAGCGAAAAATCTTTAACTTAATTTAATGGGCTTTAGTTAACAGCCCGCATTGGAGCAGATTGACAATAAAAATATCACTTTTAATATTGCCAGTATCGTGCGCAGATACTAAAACGCAAAATTAGAATTTTTGAAGAAATAATCTGCACGTTTCTACTTTTTGATAAAATGAAACTCGCTTTGCCTTCGTTATTGAATTTGGAAGAGAAAATTAGTTTTCAATTTTCCTGCACCACTCAACATTTACGAGTAAAAAAGTACAGCAAAAATAGAAATAATGACTGAACACGCAATACCAAAACAATACCCCTTTATTGCCAACAACACAACCAAAAAAACATAATAAAATCTGGCTTTCTGCATAAATAAAAATTGCCACATATTTTTCATTTTGTGCCATTTTTGTCTTCTTAATCCTCTAAAAAAGTACAAAATGTTTCAGGTGCGTCAGCGGAATTTGCAACCAACAAAGCTGAAAATGTTGTACCTGGACGTTGAAGTCGCCACAGTCGCTCGAAACACGCAGGTAATTAAAGTAACAGCACTTGGATTCTGTTTTCTGTGACTGTAAGGTGAAGAGACGTGACTGACCTGTGGTGAAAAGTGCTAAAAAGTGTCACAAGATCTGCTAAACTGGTAGTGCAAAGTGAAAAATCTCGACCGGCAATTATGTGCTTCTGTGAAAGGAAATTTACCGAAAACTGAAAGGTAAACGATGGTTAAAAAGTCGATGGAAATACGGGAAAGAGTTCCTCCAACTCTTTGGTACACGTCGCAGGTACCTGCTAGTACTTTCTTTTTGCTGGTTGCCTCCGGGCAATTTTCTACTATCAGAAAGCCAGAAATCCATCATAGGCCAAACCTGCCCCGTAGTTTATGTCCTTGTAAAGAAATTCTTTGAAAAGATACCGGTGTTCGATCGCCAGCGACCGCGCTGGTCAAGTTCAAAGGAAACAAACGAGCGGCCCCGATTTCGAGGTGAAAAAAAGCAGAAAAATGCCCATAATATCCAGTTCCTGCCCACTACACGTAAATAACACCCAGGCAATTTCCATTCTCACTGGGTAAATATGTAAATAGGCTTATCTTAATGCCGCAAAACCTAAATAGCAGATAAAACTGGTCTTGGAACCGCTAGATAGAATAGAATCGTCATTGCTTGATATCTTATGCAACAAAACTACTTTTGAAAAGGCAAACAACTTATTTGGTGGTTTGCGGCAAAAGTGTCGTGGGAAAACGTTTTTTCTCCACCTGTAAGCCTTTATTAATAAAGTCTTGGTAACTGGCGCAATAATCCTCTTGTGGCCATTGATACATAATCACCCTGTAATTGCGATTACCATCCGTAATGCTGACTTGCTTTTCCTGTTAGTTCAATGAAATTTAGTCTGCTAGTAACAATCGCCGTTAATTAGGATGTTTTTTAAAGTTGTATGGTCCCAAAAAAATCCATAACAAAATTGCAGTTTTTCTTTATACAGATGAAAATGATCTCTGAATGGTTGTGCTCTGTTGCCTGACATATAAAATAATTTGTATTCGGGAGATGAAACGTTTAGAACATCGACGAAATGCCAACGCTGATTTTAATCTTTAATCCATTCTCTGAAAATGCTTGCCATGCATGCTAGCGAAACGTCAGGACCAAATCCTTATCAGCGACGGCCTAAAATTTACCTAAAATTTTAAAATACCTGCTTGCTCAGTGTTTAATCGTCGCAACCACCTCTGAAGCTTTCATCCGTATAAAGCCAAACTTACAAAAGGAGACGAAAACCTCTATATCACCGTAAAAGTGAACGATAACAGAAACTCACATTTTTTATATGTTATATGTTTATACGTTTATTACGTGGTTAAATTTCAAACTTTAATACCCAGGGTGTGCGGCTAATTTTGTGGGCAAATTGAAAAAGTTTTAATTCGAACTTAATACAAATAATAATCTGATTCAACTTAATATTCCGCCAGTGTGCTGGCGTTCTTAGCAAATATCAATGAAACAAATAGCGGTTCCCAACCCGCACAAATTGCCTTCAAACCCAACTGTGAACGAAACAACTCGAATTTGAGCAATCCTTAACTTAATTAGAAGAGTTTCAATGAAATTGCTGTTAGATTTGCAAACGCTGATCGAATTAGATGAATGGTTTCAAAATAATGTGTATTTTGCCATCATTGATGTGGTAAAACGTAACTTACCCACCACAATGAGTCGTCGTTAAGGTCTGGTTTTGACGAAAAATATGCCAAAATACCAAAATTTGAATAGAAAGGAAAAACTTACTGAGTGACTGTATTTTAAAGCAGGGCCGCAACTACATTGGACTGAAACATTAATCCTCCAGATTGCTGCATTACTGAATCCGAACTAAGCTTAAGTTTTGCACTTTAGAAGTGATTAATTTTTCACTTTTAAATATTTTAAAGCTATTAATTACAGCCTAAAGAGAGAATTTCAAAAAACAACCACACGTACTCGCTAGAGAGCTATTTACATGTTTTTGGTCCTTCGATGGCCAGATTTGTACTCCATTTAGAAAAGAATTGCGAACTTGCCCTGACCACTTTTTATACCTACTGTACCATTTTGGATATTTCTACAGATGACGCAAGATGTTGACGCTAATTAGCAAAAGAGCATAAAATCACAAAGATCCCAAGTTAAGAAATTGAGCGAACGTAGAATAAATGAGTACTTAGAGCTTAATAAACAATAGCAGTCTTGTATAACATAATCAAAGTGAACGCCGGTTCTACTTGCAGTTTTCCCAGAAAACCTCTGATTATAAATTTTAACCGGGCAATTTGTTGTTGCACTTTAAACTCAGCAGAACTCGTTCAGTGCCTTGGAATAGACGTCATCAAATCAACCAGTTTATGTACAATTCAATTAGGTTTCATTACGTATTCCACTATATGTACACGGTGGCCGAACTGATAAATCAACTGAATTTTAATGCTGTTTATTTATGCTAATATTCATTCCTTATTGGAGCAATAGCGTTCAATTGGTGATGGATCTGGAGATCCTGCTGGCTCTTGTCCCCAAAATCCTTCAACTTCTACTGAAAGCTTTACTTTGACCATGAAGTAATTGCAATGATCTTTGTTAGGGCAAAAAGTGTGGTTTTCTTCCTAGTCATTTGCCTTGAACACGTAGTGAAACCCTCAAGTTCAAGAACACATTTCGGATGCAGACTCTTGTGTGAGTAGAAAGTAGGTTTTTGGGCGTATACGAGCCGCGTATAATAATTTATTCCATTGGAAATTAACACCACATTGCTGCACAATAGGATTTGACTTAACTTGATAATGAACCCAATAAAGTTGTCTTTGAATGGCCAGCGGAAATGCATTTTTTAACACCGAAAACAATAAGATCAGTTAAATAAGTACTTTTACTTTCTTCACTGATGATTTTCTGGTTTTTTTTTACTTTGCTCACGAAAATAGTTGCACTCGGCTTAAGTAAGCTCCTTTGGAACCAATCTATTATCGTCGATATTGACTGAGAAAAAAAACACCGAATACAACCATAAAATTACTTAAAAACCCAACATAACAGTCTGCTATGCAAACTTTCACCGTTAAGTGCAAAACTATTCTCCTCCGTTCTGGGTTAAACAATTAAAGGATATTAAACATGATGGATTTTATTTAGGAAAAATGCTGATGACATACGAACGTGTAGAGTAAAAGTTGCTTGTACGTGAGCTTTCGGATTTATCCAAAAAATTTTCCGGTTTTTTACTGGAGTTGTGTTTTTTGATTTTGCTTAAAATATAATCGAAGTATTTTTAATGCAATTTTTGGTAATTTTGGAAAATTTTGTTCAGTTCAGTCAGCAAAGTTTCAGCAATGAGATTTTTTGATGGGAGTGCCCGCAAAAAAATGTGTCGGATTTTGTACAAAAGGCAGGAAATACTTACGCTTTTTCCTGTCGTTTTTCGTAAAATGTTCAAGTTTTTCTGGATATTTTAAGGTATTGTATGGGTTTTTTTGATTAATTTGACACAAAAAGGCTTCTTTCGGTTTATTGCTCTGAAGTTGACCATTTTCTAGAAAAAAATGACTTTTCATGATCAAAAACAAACATTTTACTAACTGCACCCATAAGATACCTTAAAATCTCCAAGCGAAAGAATGGAGAAAAAAATTAATGTCGAAAAAAGGATTTTTTCTTCATGACAAATCTACAGTTATCTGTTGCGACGCTTATTTAAACCCCTGTGAATGTGTATTGCGTTCTTATATAGAAAAAAGAAAAAAATATGTCGATTATTGTAAATTTTTACATCAGTAAATCATCAGTCAAAGTACATCAGTTTCGGAAAACAGTTTGTTTTTGATTCTACATTAATTTTTTTTATTAACGATGAACTTTTGAAAATAAGAACGATATATTGATGAGATTTACGCGTGTTTATATAGAAAAAGCGTAAAAAATGTGTCGCTTTTCGTACAAAAGTCAGGAAAAACCTACGCTTTATTGCGTACCTTATTGCAAAATCCAAAGATTTTTGCTGTTTTCGAAAAGACTTTTCGAGTTTTTTTCTGGATATTTTTAGGTGTCAAATGGGTCTAACCCTGTTTTTATGCCACTGAAAAAAACTAACATTTGGACATGAAATACTGCAGCGGCAATGAATTTTGTGCAAAACCATTTATCCGGGAGAAAAAATGGCTTTTTTATGACCAAAAACAAATAGCAAACAAAAGTATGGAGAGAAAAATGAAAAGCAAAAATGGGGGTTTTTCTTCATGAGAAATCTACCGTTTTCCGTTGCAACACTTATTGAATCTATTAATTATTGGTTTTTTTATTAACGATTAACTTTGAAAATGCCTGTTTTTTTCGCTAATTTTGTTAAATGTATCTTTTCGAAAATGAGCGCTATATTTTGATGAGATTAACGTGTGTTTATATTGAAAATCCCGAAAAAAATATGTCGCTTTTCGTACAAAAGGCAGGAAAAACCTACGCTTTATCGTGTAGCTTATTGTAAAATCCAAAGATTTTTAGTGTTTCCGAGAAATTTTTCCAGTTTTTTTTTATATTTATATGGGTTTAGTCCTATTTTTCACGCCTCTGAAAAAACTAACGTTTTGACATGAAATACTGAAGCGGCAATGAATTTTACACAACATCGGTTTTCTCGGTTTATGGCTCTAAAGTAGACCGTTTTCTAGAAAAAATAGTTTTTTATAAACAAAAGTAAACAGCAGACGAAAGCATGGAGAGAAAAATTGAAAACGAAAAAAGTTAAAAACTCAAAACTTCATAAGAAATCTACAGTTTTCCGTTGCAGCACTTATTTAATTTATTAATTATTGTTTTTTTTATTAACGATGAACTTTGAAAAAGTTTCTTTGCAACTTTTAATGAGGATTATTGTGTTTTCATATTGAAAAACTGACGCTTTTTGTACAAAAGTCAGGTAAACATACGATTATCGTGTAAAATTAAAATACTTTTGCTTGAACTGATTAGTACTGAACGTTGGAATATGCTTGATGAAATCTTTCCTTGTACAACAATAGCGATATCATCCGCATATCGCAGGAATTGGTTCTTGATTTTGCATAAAATTGCACTGCAAAAATATATGCATTATTCGAATAATTCGATTTTTAAATTATTCTTCATAATTAGTCCAATGTATTATCGTCTAATTGCCACTGTCGCGTTACATGTTCAGGTAAAAAGTTTCGATAAAATACGTGCATGAATGCTTAATTCGCATTTATGTCTGTAAAAGTGACTTGGCACGAAATAAATGGTCAATATCAGTAAACGGCCGAGGTTAATTTTATGTAGTTAAGCAGTGTTTTTACGTAATTCATCGAAAAAATCAGACTTTTTAATTAATTATTCTTCGTTGCAGGTCTTCTATATGTTAAGCCAGCTTCAAAATGGTTATCGTGACACGGGTAAGTGTGTTCTATTAATTTGCATTAGAGCGCGATTTTTTACGCAAAACATCAAACTTAGCCATCATTTGCACTCTCATCAGCAGGCTGAACAAGTTCCAAAATTCCTGAGGCTGTTTTAAATATTCATCATATAGTTCGCATTCAGCCTAGTTTTTTGACCTGGAACTATGAGCATTTGCTACTAGAATTTACTCTGTTTGCACCCATTTAATCCCTTTTGTACGGGTTCGCCTAATCCGTATCGACACTCTCAAGTGAATAAGACGAAAAATGTGAATGACCATTATCTGGCACATTTTCTTCGTTAAAATAAATTGAAGTTAAATTTCAGGCTGATTAGCAATTTAAATGCGAGGTCTGGCATCTGAAAGACGCGCATTAATTTATGTCTGTGATGTGAGTGAATAGATCAGCGGAAGTTCTACTAAGCTTTTTACTCCTCCGAGTCTGGTCGAGGTAAAAAATGTTGAATGTCCAGAATATCGAAACGAGATTAAATGATTATTATTCTGCGCCATCGGATTGCGGTCAACATTACCGGAAGTTCCGGTGGAATGGCACAAGATGGGTGCGAACAAAGAGCGCGATAGTGGAAACATTCACTAAACCGTGAACGCATTTCCGTTTTCCCTTTTGTTTAATTCGTATCGTTGCGGGAGTATCGCACGATTATCCGTCTGGCTGCGGAAATCGAGCCGAGAAGAATTTCGGACCTACCAAAACTGTCCTCACTTTTCCTCCTGACCTCAAAAACCATAAATCGAGCAAGTCAACTAGTTGACTTTATAAGGAATGCGTTTGTTTTGGAGGCGACCGCCCAATCAATGTTGAGCTTCCATTCGACAGTCTTACAATGAAATTCGATCGATGATCATCTAAAGTGCGAGTGAGTGTAGACGATGCCTCCGACCCTGCAATTGACCCATTTTGCGCAAGTAACCGGTAATTTCGGTCATTTGAATCTGCTTCCCGCAGTCAAACACGACGCTGTTTCTGATCCAGAGGTAAATTATGAACGATGGTCAAATCAATCGCTTCAATAAGTAATTTCGACTGTTAACGACATTCCTGGTGCGAGGAGGAATTTTAAGTGTACCTCAAGTAACAGTACTGATTACGGCTATAGCGGAAAATCAGGTTTTTACTGATCGGTGCCTTAAAGCGCACTCATATTTGTCTATTGCGAGCGAGGCAAAAGTTAATGAAATTGACGCTGGAAAAGTTTCATTTTGTGTTCTTCATCTGTTCTTCCTAACGACGTCTCAAGAAACTTTCCGTCGCAGTCTAGCGCAACCTCAAGCTACTCCTTATCTCAGTCTGTTGCGTGGTAATTAAATTATCAGACCCCCCAGCAAAGGGAGCGGTTGAAAATTTGCCAAAACGCAACTCAGCCATCGACAGAAGAAGCGCAGATTTTCACTCATTGATAGAGAAAACATCGCTCTTTCAAATGCAGCCTCAAACAACTTGAAAAGTGAAAAAAAAATGAGGTTATTTGAAAAATTACCAAAAATCAAATCGCCTCAGGGCAAAAATGACTTTTCCTTTTTCTCATTAATAGAGAAAATTGCCCTGTTTTTATCGCCAACTCGAGCCATATTTGGCTCAGTCTGTTGCGGCGGACGGGATTTCAATTATAAGAACTTCCCGCAAAAATCAACTCAGCCATGGATTAAAGAATTTTGCGTCATTGATAGAGAAAACTGCACTTTTTCAAACGTCGTCTGGAGTGACTTTCTGTCTCAGTCTGTTGCGAGGCAATTAATTACTGAAACGTCCTCTAGAGGAAGAGGCGCGATGGCGACGTTTGAAAATTTGCTAAAAATCAACCCGGACATGGACAAAAAGGACTTTCTTCTCAATCTTTAGAGAGAAAACCGCGCTATTTTCAACCCCCACCTCAAGCGTCTCTTTTTATTTTTGTTGCACCGCAATTAAAAATGGAAAGCTGTGTTAGAAAGAGGTAGAGAATGGGGACTTTTCCAAAACTGTCAAAAGTCAACCAGGACCTGGACGAAAATTGACGTCTCGTTCACTTATAAAGAGATTTGCGCTCTTTTCAACGCCGGGTTTAGCGACCTTTTATCTCTGTTTGTTGCATTAGAATACATTAATATAACTCACTTCAGAAAAAGAGCCGGCAGGCGGACCGATGGTAAAATTTAAAAAATTAGGGTTTTATGATTTTTAGAGTAATTCGCGCTCTTTCTAACGCTGCTTGTATTGACTATACATCTCTTTTCGTTGCATCGCAATGAATTAAGGAAACCTGCACCGGCAAAACGTCCCTTTGACATTTTTCTATAACCAAGATTGTCATTGGATCTGAATCGGGAGATTTCGTGCAACTTCGAAAAATGTCAATTCCCGCCAGAATTCAAATTACATTTTGCCCTGTTTCGAAATTTGAGCGATTTGAGTATTTTTTGCCATTGGATTATCAGTTTATTATGTAGATTTTATGCAACCCGACATGAATTGACTGTTTTTGAAAAAATTACTATTTTTTTAACTGAAACTGATAAGCAGTAGGCAAATGTAACAATATCAATTTACCGGAGACCGAACGAATACAAAGCATTTTGTTACATATTTATCGATCATTACACGGCAACGAACCCAATAACTCGAAACCCAACCGTAAGAACCAATTTTTTTAAGAAACATGCAACGTAAAAAATGGTCTAACATTGTCTAATGTCCATTTACTTCATGGTAGTAAGCCAAATAATGCTGAAACCGTATTCAAAACACTTAGGAGAAATCCATTATTGTCTTCAAATCATCCAAATCGTTTGGCCTACTTTTTATACAACATTTTTAGGTGGCAACACAAAAAACAATACAAAACAAAAGTTGATGAAAGACTCAAATAATTGATTCATTAAAAATCAACACATGTAAGGAGGCGATTTTAAACCGCAGTTGAGACGAAAATCTACCAGATAGAGTTTCATATGGAAAAACGCATTTTAAACTTAACTTCTTTACGCTGCCATGTTTGAAAGTTTAAATCGTAATTGTTTCGCATTAATGTATAGATACTCAGACCATTCGCAGCTGGGCAAAATATTGGACTTTTTTAAAAACCCGTTAGTCAAACAGAGTACAGTTACCGGAGAGTTTAACAAATCTTTTCCCACTTTACCAATTAGCATATGAAAAACACTAACTTCAATGCCTATGAAGCTTTCGCTCGAAAGTTTTAGCATTTCCTTTGATGCTGGAGTGAAAAATATGCAGGGAAAATTGGAAAATTCACATCAGTTCCAGCCGAGCTTGGTTGAAATATTCACTGAGCTCCAGCTAATGGGCTTCGCAGATGTCTTTCGTTCATCACCTGTTGCAGCCTTAAAAAAACTAAACATTTTAATGTCAGGTTCATGAATAGGCGCCTAAATAACGGCATTTATACAATCGGAATTATTGATGTCAATCGGGTGTATTCAAACAATCTTCTCCAGATGTTTGATGGCCCTTCGTCTCCAAGTGAACTAGACCGTGGAGGTTAAAAGCTCATTCACTTTACAGGGTGATTACATCTGGATCGAACCCGTGGGAAATGGAGAGTTCGATGTGGCAATCGGAGCAAGAGTCCTGCAGGCAGAAGGACGGCGCGTTTATGTCCGAGATGATGATGGAAACGAGAACTGGTTGGCTTCGGATCGCCGCATTAAAGCCATGCATGCCACTTCTGCTCATGGAGTGGAGGACATGATCGGGTTGGGAGACTTGCATGAAGCAGGAATTCTCAGAAACCTCCTCATCAGATACAATGAGAATCTGATCTATGTAAGTGCTCAGGGTTTTTCCTAGCATCCCAGTTATTCTTGGGCGGTTTCAGACATACACTGGGTCGATTCTAGTCGCTGTCAATCCCTACCAAATCCTGCCCATCTACACTGCCGAACAGATCAAGCTCTACAAGGAGCGGAAAATTGGTGAGCTGCCACCCCATATATTTGCGATAGGGGACAACTCGTATGGGAACATGAGAAGGTACGAAAATATGCCAAATTCCACTGCTATTCGCTCGAAAAGCTGAATACCCGCAGAATCGAGCATTTAGTTTAATAATATACCATTAGCGGTTTGGAATTATTATAATATCATTGTGCTACTTATCTACTTAAACGCGTCGTTGATACAAGTAACAGATTTCTTGAATTCATCTGATCGTTTGAGATAATTGGCTGCAAACTGTCGAAATGCCTTTAAAGAAAGTGAGGAAACTGGAGAAATTGCCCACTTATACGAGGTGTTTCCGTTCGTTCAACGTGTGCCCGGTTTTTCTGATCGCATGTGTCGATTTCAATTAAAATACCACACGATATTGCATGGTACCATCATAATAACCATTACCTAAGAATTACTCATAGAAATTTAGTAAAAGTTTTCTCATCAAAATCACAATCGATTAACCGCATGGCGATCCGAATTAGCAACTGATGTAATGGGGGAATTTTCCAGTAAAACATGCGATGGCTATAAAAAATTATAAAAGTGAGGTTTTTCTGTCCTCAAACTGCCGTAGTCACAGTGGAGACTATTTATCTCTGGTTTTATCCAAAAATATATTCGTTTTTGGAACATGCTGGATCATTGAATTTTGACCCAGAATTTTCTTCTACCTCTGTTCCCCTGCAAACAATTTTCCGTGATGCAGATTATCTAATTTCTTTCGCCTCAAATTCTGTAGTTTTTGTGAACTAAACCACGATTAATTTTAGATATGGACAGGATCAATGCATAGTGATATCAGGCGAGTCAGGTGCAGGCAAAACCGAGAGTACAAAGTTGATTCTTCAATACCTGGCAGCCATCAGTGGAAAACATTCGTGGATCGAGCAACAAATTCTCGAAGCAAATCCCATCCTAGAAGCTTTCGGTAAAAACTCCTTGCCGAGTAAGACTGGTTTGTTATTGCGGTTTTCCCCCAGGAAATGCCAAGACTGTGCGCAATGACAACAGCTCCCGATTTGGAAAATACATAGATATCCACTTTAACGCCAGTGGAGTGATCGAGGGGGCCAAGATTGAGCAGTATCTGCTGGAGAAAAGCCGCATAGTGTCCCAAAATCAGGAGGAGCGGAACTATCATGTGTTTTACTGTCTGTTGGCTGGCTTGGGACGAGAGGATAAACGGAAGCTGGAGCTGGGAGACGCTAGTCAGTATAAATACCTAACAGGGGTAAGTCAAAGCTTCGAGTCTCCAACGGATCTTAATGGTTTTTTTAGGGCGGCAGCATCACCTGCGAAGGCCGAGACGACGCAGCCGAATTCGCGGACATCAGAAGCGCAATGAAAGTGCTGCTGTTTTCCGACCAGGAAATATGGGAGATTATGAAACTGCTGGCTGCCCTTCTTCACATTGGAAACATCAAGTATAAAGCGACTGTAGTTGACAATCTCGACGCCACGGAAATTCCCGATCCCACCAACGTTCAAAGAGTGGCGAATTTACTCGGTAATAATATTATTTGAAAAGGATCTCCCTAAAACATTTGAAGATGCTTTCAGGCCAAGCGCTTTCAACAATCAAAATGAGCAACTTTCCTATTTTAGAAGACCGACACATTGAATTTGTAACACTCCGTATACTAACTAGTCAATTGTGATTTAGGTGTTCCACTGCAGCCACTGATCCACGCGCTAACGCGGAAAACTCTGTTTGCCCATGGGGAAACTGTAGTGTCGACACTGTCGCGGGAGCAAAGTGTGGATGTTCGCGATGCCTTTGTAAAAGGCATCTATGGGCGGCTTTTTGTGTTCATCGTGCGCAAAATCAACACTGCCATCTACAAGCCAAAGGAGCGCCAACGAAGTTCCATCGGAGTCTTGGATATTTTCGGCTTCGAGAACTTCGCCCACAACAGCTTCGAACAGTTCTGCATCAATTTCGCCAATGAGAACCTTCAGCAGTTTTTCGTGCGGCATATATTCAAGCTGGAGCAGGAAGAGTACAATCTGGAGGGCATCAACTGGCAGCATATCGAGTTTGTCGACAATCAAGACGCGCTGGATCTTATCGCTGTTAAGCAGCTGAATATTATGGCACTGATCGACGAAGAGAGCAAGTTTCCAAAAGGAACTGACCAGACGATGCTGGCCAAGCTGCACAAGCAGCATGGCGCCCACCGGAACTACCTAAAACCAAAATCGGACATCAACACCAGCTTCGGGCTCAACCACTTTGCTGGGGTAGTTTTCTACGACACTAGAAGCTTCTTGGAGAAGAACCGCGATACGTTTAGTGCCGACCTGCTTCAACTGGTGGCCATCAGCGGCAACAAGTTTCTTCAGCAGCTCTTCCACGACGACATCGGGATGGGCTCGGAAACCCGGAAACGCGCCCCCACTCTGTCCACGCAATTCAAACGGTCCCTGGACTCTCTGATGAAAACTCTCTCCAACTGCCAGCCGTTCTTCATCAGGTGCATCAAACCCAACGAGCTGAAGCGGCCGATGTCCTTTGATAGGACGCTCTGCTGCAGGCAGTTGCGTTATTCAGGAATGATGGAGACCATCAGAATCCGACGCGCCGGGTACCCGATTCGGCACACGTTTGAGGAGTTTGTCGATCGGTATCGGTTCCTCATCTCGGGCGTACCGCCAGCCCACAAGACTGATTGCATGGCAGCCACTTCTCGAATTTGTCAAATAGTTTTAGGTGAGTAGTTGGATGAATTCTAACCGTCCATGCTGGTCCAAGAAACCGGTACAATTCCTGTTGCTTTTCAGGAAGATCTGATTACCAACTAGGAAACACGAAGGTATTTCTGAAGGACGCCCACGATTTGTTTCTGGAACAGGAGCGCGATCGCGTGCTCACCAAGAAAATCCTGGTCTTGCAGAGAAACATCAGAGGCTGGGTGTATCGCAGGAGATTTTTGAGACTGAGGGCGGCCAGCGTGGTGGTTCAAAAGTACTGGAAAGGTTACATCCAGAGGCAGCGCTACAAGCAGATGAAAGTGGGCTACATGCGGCTGCAGGCCCTTATTCGCGCCAGAGTACTCTCCCATCGATTCCGGCATTTGAGAGGACATATCGTGGGATTGCAGGTAATCAGACTTCCTCAAGTAATTTTTATGTGCAACTTAATTTCCTCTATCTTCCAGGCTCATTCGCGCGGTTTCTTAGTTCGAAGAGAATACGGGCACAAAATGTGGGCGATTATTAAGATCCAGTCGCATGTGCGGAGAATGATCGCCCAAAGGCGATTCAAAAAGCAGCGGTTTGAGCACAAAAAGCACGTCGAAGCCTTAAAGCTCAAACAGAAGGAGGAACGCCAGCTGAAGGACGCCGGCAACAAACGGGCCAAAGAAATAGCTGAGCACAATTACAGGTAAACTTCAGCCCCAGGCACTCTGGCCAGTTCAATGGGATAACACCTATTTTTTCAGGGAAAGAATATACGAACTGGAGCGAAAGGAAATGGAGCTGGAAATCGAGCAAAGGAAGCGAGTGGAGATCAAAAAGAACATCATCAACGACGCTGCTCGAAAAGCCGATGAGCCAGTCGATGACTCCAAGCTGGTGGAAGCGATGTTCGACTTTCTGCCCGATAGTTCGAGCGAAGCTCCCGGCACTGGTACGAATAAAGGGCGAGTTTTGTTGAATATTCCGCTCATTTGGAACTGTCTAGGGCGAGAAACCTCAGTATTCAACGACCTGCCAGCCCAAACCAATGAGAACGAGATCATCAGTCCTATGCAAACGGTTTCGGAAGATGAGGAAGATTTAAGCGAGTTCAAGTTCCAGAAATTCGCCGCCACATACTTTCAGGGCAACGTGGGGCATCAGTACTCGAGGAAACCGCTCAAGCATCCCTTGTTGCCGCTACACACACAGGGCGATCAACTGGTGAGTGTTATTAAGCCCATACAAAGAGCATTTGAAAAATTAGGAAATATTTATTTGGTTTTTTTGTACAAATAAGGACCGTTTTCTTAAACCTGGTTAAGAAAGTGATGTTGTGGTTTGTTGGTGACCGTGGATGCAAACTGGTAAAAGTGTCGATCAACAGATAGCGACAGAAAAACATTATTTTTCTTGAGCCAACGTTTGGTTTTTTGCACTATTATCGTCTATTTCCCACCTTCTATCCATTTTTCCCAATGTTGTTACAGGCGGCTCAAGCACTTTGGGTAACAATTCTCCGTTTCACTGGCGATTTACCGGAACCAAGGTACCACACGATGGAAAGGGACACCACTTCGGTTATGTCCAAAGTCACAGCCACGCTCGGCCGCAACTTCATCAAGAGCAAGGAGTTTCAAGAGGCGCAGCTGATGGGTTTGGACCCCGACTCGTTTATGAAGCAAAAGCCCAGGTAACATTACAATAAGGTTGCCATCAAAAAAGCTTTATTTCGCAATAACACGCAGATAAATCGGTAGATTTTAGACTGTCGTCCCAGCAGAAAACGCACACAAGTTTCAAGCATTATATTATTAGACTCACCCAGGCTATTTATTATGCAGATCGATCAGGAACAAGCTGGTATCGCTGACGTTAAAGCGCAAAAACAAGCTAGGAGAAGATGTGCGACGGAAGCTTCAAGAGGAAGAGTATACGGCGGATAGTTACCAGTCATGGTTGGAATCCAGGCCCACCAGCAATCTGGAAAAATTGCACTTCATCATCGGCCATGGAATTCTGCGGGCTGAGCTTCGCGACGAAATCTACTGCCAGATTTGCAAGCAGCTCTCGAATAATCCTTCCAAGTCTTCTCATGCTAGAGGTACAAACTTGGAGCAAAAACCATCATTACCCCAGCCTGAAACACATTTTTCTCCTAGGCTGGATACTGTTATCGCTGTGTGTCGGGTGCTTCGCCCCTTCGGAAAAGTTCGTCAGCTATTTACGGGCCTTTATCAGAGAGGGTCCTCCAGGGTACGCGCCCTACTGCGAAGACCGCCTGAAGAGAACCTTTAACAATGGGACGCGAAACCAGCCGCCCAGCTGGCTGGAGCTGCAAGCCACCAAATCAAAGAAACCCATAATGTTGCCGATTACTTTCATGGACGGCAACACGAAAACGCTGCTAGCTGACTCAGCCACCACTGCTAGGGAATTGTGCAATCAATTGTCGGATAAAATTAGCTTAAAGGACCAGTTTGGGTTTTCCCTATACATAGCGCTGTTCGACAAAGTTTCTTCGCTGGGCAGTGGCGGCGATCATGTTATGGACGCGATTTCCCAATGCGAACAGTATGCAAAAGAGCAGGGAGCTCAAGAGCGCAATGCGCCTTGGAGGCTTTTCTTCAGGAAAGAGATCTTCGCTCCGTGGCACGAGCCTACGGAGGATCAGGTTGCTACCAATCTGATCTATCAGCAAGTGGTACGAGGCGTGAAATTTGGCGAATATCGGTGAGTAGTTGCACTTTTTCAACCCAGCGTGGTTCATTGGCGTTTTCCAGGTGCGATAAAGAAGAGGACTTAGCCATGATAGCCGCTCAGCAATACTACATCGAATACAACACGGACATGAACGTGGAACGGTTGCTGACTCTGTTGCCCAACTATATCCCCGATTATTGCCTGACTGGCGTAGATAAGGCCGTAGACCGATGGGCCGCCTTGGTAGTCCAAGCCTTCAAAAAAAGCTACTACATCAAGGAAAAAGTCAACGTCTTGCGCGTTAAAGAGGACGTAGTCAGCTACGCCAAGTTCAAATGGCCCCTACTATTCTCCCGGTTCTACGAAGCGTACAGGAATTCAGGCCCGAATTTGCCCAAGAACGACGTAATAATTGCAGTCAACTGGACAGGCGTTTATGTGGTTGACGATCAGGAACAGGTTCTTCTCGAACTGTCCTTTCCCGAAATCACGATGGTTTCTAGTCAGAAAACGAACAAGGTATTTACGCAGACTTTCAGCCTTAATACGGTGCGAGGCGAGGAATTTACCTTCCAAAGCCCCAACGCTGAAGACATTCGCGATCTGGTAGTGTATTTCCTGGGTAAAGTTTCAAAGTCTTCGGCAACCGGCAGGTTTTAACCAGATTTTGTTGCAGAGGGTTTAAAGAAGCGCTCCAAATACGTTATAGCGCTGCAAGACTACAAAGCCCCTGGAGAAGGGTCCAGCTTCCTGACGTTCCAGAAAGGCGACTTAATTATTCTGGAGGAAGACAGTACTGGGGAAACTGTGCTGAATTCTGGATGGTGTGTTGGCAGGTACTGAACTAGAATTACGTTTAAAATCCAGATATTGGTTCATGTAAAATGCCTGTTTCTTTATCTCGTTCTTTTTTGCTTCAAGATGTGAGCGCACCCAGGAAAAAGGCGACTTTCCTGCTGAAACAGTGTACGTCCTTCCCTGTATGAGCAAACCCCCAGCGGATATTTTGCAGCTGTTTTCTGTTGAAGGTAGTGGCTTTCCATTCATTAGATTCGTAAAAAATATTTGTCATCAATTGCAGGAGTTAATGATCATCAAAGGCGTCTAAGTCATCACTCGCTAAATGGTGTGGATACGAAAGACCGGCCGCACAACTTAGCCGAATATGCAATTGATCACTTCAGGCCTCCATTAAAACGAACAGTTTCGAAAACGCTCACTTTGAGTGGCGGCCGAAGAAGCACTATAGATGAGCTCTGGAGACATTCGCGCGATCCGATCAAACAGCCGCTTTTGAAGAAGCTGCTCATGAAAGAAGAGCTCGCAGGTAAAGTGCTTTATCACTCAATTCGTACTCAGGGTTAAGTACGGCTCAATTTGCAGAAGAAGCGTGTTTTGCCTTCAGTGCAATATTGAAGTATATGGGCGATTTGCCATCGAAACGACCACGACTCGGCAATGAGTACACGGACCATATATTCGACGGGCCGTTGAAGCACGAAATTCTGCGGGATGAAATTTACTGCCAAATTATGAAGCAGCTGACCGACAACAGGAATCGTTTGTCGGAAGAACGGGGATGGGAACTGATGTGGTTGGCCACTGGTAGGTACTCACTAAACACAAAAAATGCTGATTAAAGCCCGCATTCCCTTTGCAGGTTTGTTCACTTGTTCCCAAAACCTGCTGAAAGAGCTGTCGGCCTTTCTAAGGAGCCGAAGGCATCCGATTTCTCAGGACTCGCTGCAACGGCTGCAAAAAACGCTGAGAAACGGCCAGAGAAAATATCCACCCCACCAGGTGGAAGTGGAGGCCATCCAGCACAAAACCACTCAGATTTTCCACAAAGTCTACTTTCCTGACGATACCGACGAAGCTTTTGAAGTGGACTCCAGCACCAGAGCCAAGGATTTCTGCCAGAACATCAGCCAACGGTTGAGCTTGCGCTCCAGCGAAGGATTCAGTCTGTTTGTGAAAATTGCCGACAAAGTGAGCTGATTTCTCAATGACTCAATGCCCAGGAGTAATTTTTCCTTTTAAGGTGATTTCGGTTCCGGAGGGCGACTTTTTCTTTGACTTTGTCCGCCACCTGACTGACTGGATAAGGAAGGCCAGACCGACAAGAGACGGCATCACGCCGCAGTTCTCCTATCAGGTGTTCTTCATGAAAAAACTCTGGACAAACACCGTTCCGGGCAAGGACAGGAACGCGGATTTGATCTTCCATTTCCATCAGGAGCTGCCCAAGCTGATTCGTGGTTACCACAAGTGTAGCAAAGAGGAGGCTATTAAACTAGCCGCTTTGGTTTATCGGGTGCGGTTTGGAGAGAGCAAACAGGAATTGCAGAGTATACCGTAAGCGGAGTTACTGATTAGATTTAGATGCAATAAGGAACACAGGTTTTATTATTTGCCATAGGCAAATGCTCAGAGAGTTAATTCCAGCCGACTTGGTGAAAATTCAATCGGCTAACGATTGGAAGCGTGCCATAGTCGGTGTTTACAATCAGGACGCCGGCATGCCGCCCGACGACGCCAAAATCGCCTTCTTAAAGGTGGTCTATCGATGGCCCACCTTCGGTTCGGCCTTTTTCGAGGTGAAACAAACGACCGATCCCAACTACCCTGAAATGCTGCTCATTGCCATAAACAAGCATGGTGTCAGTTTGATTCATCCACAAAACAAGGTGGGTGTTTCTGTTTGGAATTGATGGACTTGGGCTTCATTATTGTCTCGTTTTAAAGCAACGTTTCCTGCCTTCGCTCTCATTATATAAGTTCACAATAGGAAATGTTTTAATTATGGTTGATATTTTAATAACACTAATTACCTGCTGTGATGGCGTCACTTCACCTTTGCACCGTCTCGATTTTTTTTTTCAGGATATATTGGTAACCCATCCATTCACGAGAATATCAAACTGGTCATCAGGCAACACTTACTTCCACATGACGATAGGAAATCTAGTTCGAGGTTCAAAGCTGCTGTGTGAGACGTCTTTAGGATATAAAATGGATGATTTGCTTACGTCGTACATATCCCTGATGCTCACCAACATGAATAAACAGAGAAGTATACGGATAAAGTAAGCGCTCATTCAAAACTTACCTCAAATATTTATTGCTTGTCGCGTACTAGTCTAGATGTTGATTCAGAAAAGTTTTACTATTTTAATAAGATTTTTAGCGTAATTTTTGATCGAATCTCTGATAAATTCAACAAAACACCCAACGATCTTATTCAAATTCTCAACAATTTCGACTGGTGATACACAGAAACAATATCTCACAATCGTGTGTAATAATCGTTATTGGTATATTGTAAAAGTTTATATAATAGACGCTTTTTATTGTATTTATATACATATTTATAATACTTTCTGTAAATAGAATTTTCCTCAATTCAGTTTGCAATGTAAACTGCAAACTCTATTGAGGAAAAAATAACAATAAAATAAAATGTAAATAACGGACAACGAGATATTTTATTGGTAAACGGTGTATTACTTAGAACAAAAAATTGTTTTCCTTGGAGGAAATAAGGAAGTCCACATTTTTCACACGGCCATAATTCAGTTCCTTTCCCACGATAAATAAATTTGAATCTCGCATTTTAAAAGATAGTAATTTCAACCTAAATGTGGGAAGATTTAAGGAACAATAGTATTATTTTTCGTAATTACTTTCCTGCTGTATATTAATTAGTTGCTCCTGTTCCCATGCTTGCAGAACTGCGATATTTGCGTTTTATTAAAAGCCATGAGAAAACTATTAAAATAATGAATGAATATTTCAGAAAGGTAAAACAATTACAATTGTGAGGCGACCCACATTTTTTTGTGTAGAGATTTTTTCAGCTTTCAGACGCGAACCGTGAGGACGAAATAACTCCACATATGTATCAAATAAATAAATTATATATTGAAATGTCTATTTGCACAATATTCAAATGTCTCTTTGCATTTTCACTGAAAAAATAATCGACTTTTTACAACCTAGCACACAGAGCTGGATGAAAAACTGTCCCCGGTTTACGGATTCGAATCTTTCTTCAAATCCATTTTTCAAACGCAGTTTGACTGATAAACAGCACTTTTACGCCAGCTCTGCCACCTACTTTAAAATACTTGTAAATGCAATCGTTTTTTGTCTTTTGAGAAACAATGCTGAGCAAAAATACAAATTATAGAATTCCTATCAATGGGACAAAACAAAACAGCACTCAAACACAAATAATATCATTCATTTGATCAAGTGTCACTAATTGCACTTTTTAATGCTTAAAGAGGGTAAAGTAAAGTAAAGGTCGAGAATTGGATTTACGAAATCCATACTGGTCTATTTATACCCAAGCGATATACTGAAATTGCTTAGTGGCTTATGGTGGTGGCTCAGAAGTCAATGATAACCGAAAACACAAGTTTTTTTTAACGGGAAAACTTACTTTTCTTGGTTAATCGACCTCTGAGCCACTGCAACGCCTCCACAATGTTTAACTAATATATTTAGGGTAGGCGATTACATTAATCACACATCTTTGGTGTTCCCTTCGAATTTGATCGAAAATCATACGTCAATATCGCTGCAATCGCCCTTATTGCATAAAATAAACTCTAGATAGAAGATTACCTGAGCGCTTGCACTAGTGCATACTCCAAGTGGACTCAGTAATGGCAGGCGGCTGGTTCTGAGCCTGAGCTACTACTGAGCTCCTTTGCGTTTGCCTCATAATGTCGTCGGCAGGGACGCAGTTTGGTCTGGGGCCCGGTTCCGGTGTATACGTGAAAGTTAAACCGGTTGCGTAAATTATTCCATCAGTACGAACAAGGGAAACTGGAACTTGAGTTGGCTGACGAACCTGCAAAATTCATACCTCTATGAGCAAATTGGACTCTAAGACGACTTTTTAAAATGCTATTTAGATTTTTGACCGGATGGATCCTACACTATTTTGAACGCAACCCTCAGACCCTTACCCATAGCCATTCGCCTCGAAACTGGGAAATATCCGGAACCACACAAAGCATACTTTCTTGACACCGGTACATGGTTTCAGCCTCGACATCCCCGAACCAGACTTGGAGTGAGGGCGAAAAATTATCCCCGGTGAGTTCAAGCATGGCCACCTCACCTCCGCCATTCAACAAAAGACTGTGCACTATGGGAACGGGTGTAACTGGTGATCTGCAATATAATAGAACAGCCTGTAAATTATTTTCATTCAAACCATCCCTCGTAGTATGACAAGTGTGACGAGGTAGTCGCCTCCGCATGCTCAAGAGTGAGAGCAACATATCAATTGCCATGGCAACCACTATGATTTAGTCGTTCCTGGCGAGCATACCAGGGCTGATTGGATATTGACGCTATTAAATAGATAATTGGTTTCAAATTATCGCCAATTTCGATTGTGACCCAAGCGGGCAAAAATGTTGATAAGAGAAAGAATGGACTTTTTACGGCAAAACATAATCTCATTTTTTTTTATCTATAAGCCTACAGGAATTAGCAAAAAAGATTAAAAATCTACGGGATTTAATGTTTGAATTCCATTCTTGACTAGGTCTAAATTTTACAGAAAACTAAGTTCTTTACCTCACAGGGCCCATGCCCTCATAAAACTGGTACTCCGCCTTGTCCGTAGAAATAATAGTCCAGCAGGCGCCATCGTTGATCATCTCCTTATTGAGCTCTTTCGGACATGGAGTGGCTTGGAACTGGATTATTCGCTCTTGGGACAAGCACAAGTACATTCTTTCAGTGTCTTTCATGTAGAAGGCACATTTGTGGAGTTGAGATACTGGATCGTCTGCTTCTAGAAGCGCTTGCTGCTTATCTACCTGGAAAAAACCAAATCCAAGTCATATCAGAAGCATAAAACGGGTGATTGGGCCACATTCTAGAACCCAAAAGTTAAGTAACTGAACCAGTTTGGAGTTTTATGCACATTTCAGAACATGAAATATGTATGGGCTGTCCCAAACTATTTGGCAGTGACGTCATTATTCGTCATGTCCGCGATTGGTTCGAAAGATTTTCCTTCATGTTGCGTGATTGCCAGCTTGAGCGGTTGCTCCCGATGATTTGAAAAGATTTATTTTTGTTGAATCAGATATTATTGTTCTGGCACGGTTTTATAGCAGTTTGATAAAGAAGTTGATAAATTAAATATTTGTCTTTATTATTGGTTCATTGTCATAAAACATGGTGCACAAATGATAGAAAAGCACGACAATTATTGCGTCACTGCATTTATAGGCAAACAAGCAAGTGTTATTCTAACATTTCAAGGTAAAACTGTGCAGGAAAAAAATTTGGATCGCAGCACTTTTTTACTGTCTACTAAAAACGATTTAAAATATTTAACGTGATCGTTGTTTTTTGCAAACTCTCCAGCTTTACTTGTCGTGACAATATTTTTCGTAAAATCATTGGAATCAATTGCTTAAAACCACTATTTTTCTATAAGCTCTCGTATTCAACGAAGGAAGACAAAGACAAGGTGGTTTCCATGGCGATTAATATGTTGTTCTCACTCCGTAGCATTTGGATCAGTACAACCTCGCCCCCCTGCGGGTGAATAAATAAATCAGTTACACTACGAGGGGTGATCCAACCAAGATCAATTTTAGCAATTCGATTCGGACTTATTGGTCATTTAAAATGCGTAGTATGAACAAAATATTTTTTGTCACGAAAACGAATGCGATAAAAAATAAAGTTTAATTAGATATTTTTTTATAAACGCCCTACAACATTCGTACGATAAAATTTTATTTAGAAAAATGTTTATTTTGCTAAAAACTTTTTAATTTATTCGCAACCTTCATGTCACACCCTGTGTAAGTGCACCATCAAATGAACATCGAGAGAAATTTTAATAAAACAGCTTACTCAAAAACTGATGAGTCTTTCCAAGCTTTTTAGGCCGTAGTAGGAAATAATTTTTACTGGCGTTTCGCAAGCATGAGGGCTTTGCACCTTCAGGGTGGTGCTGCGCGAACAATCCTAAGGGTCATCGAAAAACTCAATAGTTTCTCTGTACATTCGAAGAGTTTACTTTGAATCTGTTGAGTTCAGGGGCGGATCCAGCTTTAAAGTCAGGGGGGGTTATGTAGAAAAATTACAGTCTTCTGTTGTTTATGAAATTAGAAAAATGATCATCGTTTTGTGCAAGGGGGCGCAAGGTTATTGCAAAATTTCATGTTTTCCGTCCCGTTTTGCATGTTTCTCGGAAGCAAAATGAGCAAGAACGCTCGTTTTTACATCATTCCAGAGATAAC